CTTTGTCTATCTGATCACACACTCATTTGCCAATTGGTCCACTTGGCCTGCTTTGTCTGTCTTATCACACACGCATCTGTAGGTGCTCGTATCATCACCACTAACAACTTCAGTATTACGCGTGAAGTGGGTCTCTCGGACGACGACGTCTCTCGTCTCACCACAACCGCAGCGCAATTGGCCACAGCTGCACGCGACAGCATAGACCCACGTGTACGAGTGTGGGGGGGTAGGTGGCTGTGTGCTATGTGTGTACACGCGTGTGTGAGCGTATACGTACACGTGTGTAGATGCATGCTATGTATGTACACAAGTGTAGAGGAATGCTATGTCTGTACATAAGTGTAAATGCATGCTATGTATTTACATAAGTGTAGATGAATGCTATGTATTTACACAAGTATAGATGAATCCTATGTATGTACACAAGTGTAGATACATGCTATGTATGTACACAAGTGTAGATTAATGCTATGTATGTACACGTGTGTATCAGTGTATTATGAGTGCATAGACCCAAGTGTAGATGAATGCTATGTATGTGCACAAGTGTAGATGAATGCTATGTATGTACACAAGTGTAGATGAATGCTATATATGTACACAAGTGTAGATGAATGCTATGTATGTACACAAGTGTAGATGAATGCTATGTATGTACACAAGTGTAGATGAATGCTATATATGTATATAAGTGTAGATGCATGTTATGTATGTGCACAAGTGTAGATGAATGCTATGTATGTACACAAGTGTAGATGCATGTTATGTATGTACACGTGTGTATGAGTGAGTGCATAGACCCAAGTGTAGATGAATGCTGGGTAGTTTAGGGTTTTAGGGTTTAGTTCGCCTTTTCCTGATACGCCGTGTTACGGAAACTGTCCACAACTGCCGAAATCCACCGGCCCACTCCGGACATCAGACATTGTACATAGCAATAGCGAACGACTCTAAACCCTAAACCCTAAAACCCTAAACAACGCACGTGCGCGTGTGCGAATGCTAAATCGCTAGCGGTGAGCTGTAGTACGTTACTGCACTGCCCACAAATTGCACTGGCAAAGGTATAGTTTAATGTGATGGTTGTACATAGTATGACCATGCAGTGGTTGTACTGTAGTATATATGAGTATGTCACATGGTTGTAATGTGTGGTAGTGTGATGGTTGTACATAGTATGACCATGCAGTGGTTGTACTGTAGTATATATGAGTATGTCACATGGTTGTAATGTGTGGTAGTGTGATGGTTGTACATAGTATGACCATGCAGTGGTTGTACTGTAGTATATATGAGTATGTCACATGGTTGTAATGTGTGGTAGTGCTTCTGCTTAGCATAGCCGCTGTTGTTGTTTAGTGGCGCGGTTTTAGGGTTTTAGGGGTTGTTCTTACCGGGTTACCGGGTTATCTGCGGCACTAAACATCCCGCCCATTCATTTGGTTCAATACAAACCACAAATAGAATTAATTTCGAATTCATTGAATTGCGAATCATATCCACACTAATCCCAAATTCATTCCCAATTTCATTAATTCAAATTATTGCTCAATTCATTCATCCGAAATGAGTCCCCAAATCATTAATTCCAATTTAATCCCGAATACATTAATTCCAAATTAATTTTCAATTAGTATGGCTCTTGACTTAGTGCATCTTCTCACCCCCCCTCCCATGACGGTCTCTCCAGTACTTCCCCCACTCAACGGCTGCTACAGACCTGATCTCGTCCTTCCCACAAACGAATGCCAACAGCAGTACGATGTCATGTTGCAGTAAGTGGAGCTGTGTGTGTGCTGCGTCTGTGCTGTGTTGTAGTTCATTTGGGTTGTGTGTGTTTTAGGGTTTTAGGGTTTATTTAGTTCATTTGAGTTGTGTGTAGTATGATCACTGCGTGTGACGACCTGTAGTTGTGTGACTAGTCCGTTTGAAACCCTAAACCCTAAAATCTACGGATAAACGTTGAACATTAGCGCAACATACCGCAATAGCGTTTAGGGTTTTTCAGTAAATCCTAAACCCTAATAGCACGCAGCATTTGGGTGTGTTGAGTGCGCTAGCTGTGCCTTCACACATAATTGCACACATGGCAAAACGTTATAACGTCACAAGGACTGCCTTCAGAACATACCAAGGGCAAGCCGAACGACAGTCTACCTACACTCAATACTCACCACGTCAACAAAGCCACGCATGACAAGCAATGTATATATATATATAGTGTAGCTACTTCCCTCATACTAACCCTATACTCATACGATACTGTCTGTCGTATACCTACCCATGTGTACTACCACAGGGCACTTGTTTCTCATGTGGATGGCATTCTGTGTGAGACTCTGAGCTCAGTGGCTGAGATGACGTCTGCGGTTGGCACTGTACTGAACACTGAAGCAGCCAATGCGTTGCCTATCAGTGGTAGTTGGACTGTGTGTGAGAAGGTGGGTGGTATTTATTTTTGAGTCTATGCCTACGTAACTCTATTATATATATATATATATATATATATATATATATATATATATATATATATATATATATATATGTATGTATGTATGTATAAATATGTACACGGAGTGAGTGAGATTCGTATACGGGCAAATGGGTAAGTGTATATGTGAGATAGTCTTTTCTATATATACATATATATGTGTGTGTATGTGTGTGTATATATATTATTAATATTATTTCTATACATATTCATATCTT